TTTCATTAAAAATATAAATACGCAATGATATAAACGATAATATAAATGAGGTGGGGGAAAATATAATCATAGAGAATGAAAACAAACCATAGATGTTAAATTTAACGAATGGTGGAAGGGGAGAAAAAAAATACACACGCGCGTAACACATACAATGAATAATTTTTAATATACTCTATGACGAAATAAAAGAAAACAAAACAAAAAACAAAATGGCGTCCGCGCATTTAATAAACTTTCTTTTTTTTGTTAATTACCCTTTTTTTTTTTTACCGTTCCCTCCTCGTATTTTTCTTCCCGTTTTTTAATTTTTAAAAAAAAAAAAAAAAAGAGAAAAACAATTTTAGATATTATTAATAAATTAATATAAGCATGTAAATTTATTAATAATATTATAATAAATAAATTTGATATTAAAAGAAAAAGGTTTAAGGCAAGCATAATGGGAAAAGTTCAAAAAAGAGAAAGAAAGAAAGAAAAAAGAAAAATAAAAAGAGAATCAGGTCGAAAGAGAGAGAGAGAGAAAACGGGAGAATTCGGAGCATACAAGGGATACTTGAGGAGGAAGGAGGGTAAAGGAAGGTTAAAGAAGGGAGGAAGGGAGGAAAGGAAAGGAAGAGAAGGATGGAAAGGGAAGTTGAAAAACGAATCGAAGAACGGTATGGGATCCGAGTGCCTGCGCCCCGAAGAGGCTAATTAATTAAAGGCTCCTCAACCCCCTGCCCTTAGGGGTCCCAACGAGTCAAAGTTCCGCGGTTAATTAGAGCTGGGAGAACACAAACACAAGTTTTATGTACCTTAACTCGGGTCTGTCTGTTTAAAACTAATTAAGAGGTAAATCGACCCGCTGTTAGCAGGGCTGCCACCCTCCAAACTTTATATAAAAATAAATAAACGTAATGACGGAAATAATTTCTTTTTTTTTTTTGATAATCTTTCGCTTTCTCATTAAGATTTAAATTTTTTTTTTAAAAAAAAAACTTTTATTAACTTTTTTTTTTTTTTTTATTAAAAACAAGTTTAAACCATGACTAAGGTTTTTTTAACCCTCCTACCACTTCCCACCCCCCGCTAAAAAGAAAAAAAAATAAATAAATAAATAGAAAAAAATTTTTTTTTTTTTGTAACAAATTTTTCTTTTAAAAAACAAACACGTGAAATTTAAAATTAATGATAAATGAAAAACATTTTGTTTTTTTTTTTTAAACTCTAGAGTTGCAATAATAATAATAATAATAATAATAATTATCATTATTTAAGGACGAAAACGTGTTCTGCTCGTGTGCAGCCGAAAACGACTTTCAAAGCTTGTTTTCACTCGTCATGCTAATTAAATACAATGTTTTTAAAAGGTCATCACAGATGAAATAAGGTATGTGATGATGGCTATGGTGGTGGTGGTGATGGTAGTGGTGGTAGGGACGATGGTCTACTTTGCCAAAATTCATGATTTCCTACAACAACAACAACAACAACAAGTTTTTTTTTTCTTCGAGTGAACTCGATATAAACGAAAAATTTTAACAAAAAAAAAAAAAACAAAAAACTTAAGTAAATTAAAGCAATATTATTATTATTATTATTATCGATGCATTTATATTTATTAAAAGCAGACGAATTTTTTTTTTATTTTGGCGGGTTTTTTAAATCGATTTTAACGTTAAAAGTTTTTTTTTTTATAACTGAAAAAAAAAAAAAACAAACGAAAAGCAATAACGTTAATGAATATCTAAACATTTTAATAGATGGAATCCTTTTGCAAATATACTTTTTCCTTTTTTCCTTTTTTTCCTTTTCCTCTCTCTCTCTCTTTCTTTTTTTTTTTTTTTAAATATTTTATTAACATTTTCTTCTTAATTGCAAACGTTCGTTTTTTTACTTACCGGAGGGTTTTTTTTTTTTTTTTTTTTTAATTTAAATTAAACGTATAATAAATGAAAATCGATCGATCGATCGATTGATCGATTTTTTAATTAATAAAAAAAATTTTATTCGTTTAATTTTTTTTCTCCACTTCGTCAATTTCTTCAATTTTTTTTTTACAATAAATAAATAAATAAATAAAAAAACCAAAAAACCCGGAAGAAACAAATATTTAAAAAAAAAGAAAATTTGCAAACCTATCACAAAACCTAAAATTAATAATGAGAAAAAGGAACAAAAAAAAAAAAAAAAAAAAAAAAAGAAAATATTTGTTTTGAATTTTCCTTGCAAGCAATAAAATTTTTTTTTATTTATACATACATACATGTATATATAAATAAACATGTTTGGAAAACAAAACAAAAAAAAAAAAAACAAAAACGGAAAAAAAAGGGGAAAGAAATGATTGAAAATGAATAAGGACGAAAGGAGGGGGAGGGAAGGGGATGGGTGGTAGGATATTAATAGGAAAGGGAAATAAAAAAAAAAAAAACGTGGACTGAGAATAGAACCTTTTAAGCCTTTTTAAACGCAAATAATAATGATAATAATAATGAATTATTTTAAGTATCGGGGAAAGGAAAAAAAGGAAAAAAAATCCGAGGGAAAATTATTATTATTATTATTATCGAGTTACACAAATTATATTAACAATCAATCAATTCGTATACGAATAGCAAATAAATTGATTTTTTTAAATTAATAAAATAGGGAAGGGAAGGAAGAGGAAGGAAGGGGAAGGAAGGAAGTAAAATGGACGAAAGACAAAGGAAATAATAATAATAATAATAATAAATGTATACATCATCCGATAGAAAATTTATCATCGTCGTCGTTTAAAACCATCAAAAAAAAAAAAAAAGAAAAAAGAAAAAGAAATCGAAGGAAAACGTTTTGTTGGCCGGTTAATCGTGGCAAAGGATTTTCTTTTTCCCTCTAAGCCATCAGCCTGATTAGTTTGTCCCTTTTCGTAGTCGTCGTCGTCGTCGTCGCCGATTCCGCCTTTTTCACCACCCCCGCCACCACCACCATCACCACCGCCACCCTTTTCGACACCGTACATTTTCAACCATCAATTTTTTTCGTCGTCCCTTTCTTCCTTCCTTCCTTCCTTTCCTTTCCCCCCCGTTCTCATTTTCTAACAACCCATTTTCCTACTTATTCTAAAATTCTGCTGCTCCCGCCGCCACCACCACCACTCCCGCCATCGCTTCCGTTTCCGTTCCCTCCTTTTATTTTCCACCCGCATTAGGTAATGTATAAAACACTTAGTTTAATCATTCATTCATTCATTCATTCATTCATTCACTCGTTTCTTTTATAAATTAATTGTTTTTTTTTTTTTTAATCAAACTCGGACATCATCGTCATCATCATCATTATTATTATTATTATTAATTAGGTTTACTTACCTTTTTTGTTTTGTTTTATAAAAATCCAAAAATCCTAAATAAAAAATAAATAAACGTGTATTAATTTTTTTTTTGTTTTTTGTTTTGTTTCAATATTATTATTATTTATTTAAAAAATAAGTTTAACATAAAACGTTTCGATTTTATTTTATTTTATTTATTTATTTTTTATACATGAAAAAATTTACAATTTACTTTTTTTTTTTTATACAATTTTATTATTAGATTTTCATTCGAAAAAAAAAAAAAAATTCGTTTTTTACATACTTCTATGTATATGCATATATATATAATTTAAAAATGGCGCGTTAGTGTTTTGTTATGTTTTCTTTTTTTTTTTTTTTGGGTAAGTTCGTTATACAATTTTCCTCTTTTCTCTCTTTCTTTCTTTCTCTCTCTCTCTTTCTCTCATTGTGTGTTTGTGTGTGATCGTTTGGGGGTACGTATTGTGTGATTTTTATAGAAAACGTTTTGGGTTCTCATTATTATTATTATTATTATTATTACGGGCCTTAAATGTAAATATTTAAAAACCTTCTAGAACTTTATAGAAAAGGAAAAGATTACGGGACAATAATACGAAGAGGGGAGGGGGTTAGGGAACGACAAAAAAAATTTTATGTTTAGAGAGAACCCTTTTGATCATTTTACAAAAAAAAAAAAATTTAAAGCTTGCTGCAAGGGGAGAGTGGGTGGTTGGGGGCAGGGGGTGGGGGAGTGCGCGTGTGTGCGTGTGCGCGTGTGTCACGTATATGCATATACAATTTAATAATAACCTCATCCGTTTGAGATTTGAGTGTTAGTGTCAATGGGATTTTTTTCTTAGTCGACCTAATGAAATTTTTTTTTTTTGTTTTTATTGTATATTCAAAACATTTCGTCGAATAAAATAATAATAATAATAATAATAATGTCTTTCCGGGAGATCATCAGGTTCACGTTTCAATAAAAAAAAAAAAAAAAAAAAATTTAAATAAACAAGAGAGTTGTACTTTTAAAACCACTTTTCCAGCGTTTTTCATTTCTTTTCTTTTCTTTTATCTTTTCAAGGTCAATTAAAACCTTCGAACCCATTTTCCAGGAAAATCCGAAGTAAATTACTCCGCGAATAGTCCCCTTTTTCTTCTTTTTCTTTTTTCCCCTCCTTCTCCTCCTCCTTCTTCTTCTTATTTTTTCTTGTAAATTTAAAAAAGATTGGAAAAAAAAAACTTTCACGTTTGAAAAGGATTATGAGCACGAAGGTCAATTTTTTTAAATAAATAACCGTTTTCAGTCATTTTCCTGAATAAAAATGGAAAGAAAGAAAAAAAAAAGAAAGAAAAAAACCAACAACAACAACAACAAAGAGAAAAAAAAAAAAAAACTTTTTTTTTTTTTTTTTTATAAATATACAATCACAGAAAGCTTGAATATTTTGGCTACAACCGGAGCAAACAACAACCGATTGTTCCCGCGGGATGCCCGACTCGCGCGCGCATGTGTGTGTGTGTGTGTATTTACGTGTTTTTGTTTGTTTGTTTGTCTGTATGTGTGTGAGCGTGTGAGCGTGTGTCAGAATGTGTGTTTGTATGTGTTTGTGTTTGTTTGTTTGTGTGTGTGTGTGAGAGCGTGTAAACGACTCGTTTAACGCCAGAATTCCTCGGCCGGGTCATTGCACATATTATCTCAATCTCTACTTCTTCTGGGTCTCCCGACTTTGCCCTTTCGAACCGTCGTCGCTCCGCCCGCGCCCGGCACTCCCGTACTTTTGAGCAATTTGTGCCAGTCCTGTTCGCAGACCAAGCTTCCGGCCAAGAGGTAATACCGATCCCCTTGTACCAACTGCGTACCACATTTCGAACATACGAAGCACTTGAGGTGAAAAACGTGATGACTTTGCGGATGAGGACCCGGCGCTCCGGCTCCCGCTCTCATAACGAATTCGTTTGGCGGAATCGTTTGTCCGCAAGCTGAACACGCTCCGGTATTACCGAACAATCTGGAACAAACAAAAAATATACGCATAAATAAAAAAAAAATTTTTTCGTGGGTGGCATACGATCAAACATTAACCATCGTAACCGAGAAATCGAACGAAGAAACGACGACTACGACAAATCGCGAAAAGGTATAATGGAGAAAGAAGGAATTTTCAAAATGTTTACGACACCGATTGGAATTTCAAAAAAAACGGTCAAAGAACTAGTAAACCATCTTGGAACGAATAAAAAAAAAAAAAAAAATTTTTTTTTAATTCTTATAAATGAAAAAGGAGAAAAACGATCTTCTTCATCTTATTATTATTATTCTCCTACCACCACCACCACCACCATCACTTCCTTTCCTTTTTTTCTTCCCCATTCCCCTCTCCCTTCGAAAGTCTCCCCATGGGAAATCTTTATTTAAGCGATTTCTCTATCAGAGTTTGGGTTAATTTCTAATTTAATGGTTGAGGGACAAATTGCAGATAAATATTTTATGGCCGTGTGATCCTTTCAATCTTAACTCATATTATAATAATTTCTTCTTATTCTTCACTTTGTAATAATAATAATAATAATGATAATTTTTTTTTTCAATCTTTCTATCTTTCCTTTTTCTAATATAATAATCTATCTTTCTTTCCCCTCCCCCCTTTTCTTTCCTTTTCTTTTCATATTTTTAAACCTTTAATTCTTATATAAAAAAAAGAAAAACGTCGTAAATACATTAAAAAAAAAAAAAAAAAAAAAAAAAACAAACTGGAAACAGAAAAATATAATAAATTCAAATATAAAAAAAAAATTTTTATTTTTTCTGAAATTAAAACCTGTAAATTTATGTTAATTAAGAAAAACCGTCCATGATTTTTTTTTTTGTCTCTTTTCCTTTTTTTCTTTTTTTTTTATTTTCTGGGGAGGAGGGAAAGAAAATCCAGGAAGATACAAAAAAAAAAAAAAAAAAAAAAGATAACGAAAACCGACGAAAAGTACAAAAAAAATTAAATAAAATAAAAATAAAATAAAATAATAAATAATGATGATGATGATGATGATGATGATGATGATGAAACAAGGATATTTTTTTTTTTTGTACGGACAAGGATTGAATAAATAATTAAACGAACAACAAGGAAATGATCAAACGAATTCGAGACGACCTTCAAAACGTTTAAAAGATTCATAGCAATTACGTAATAAATACTATAAAAAAAATATATATATATATATATATATATTTATATTTATACGTATATTTAAAAAAAACACGTAATAATTTCAGTTTTGTTTTTTATTTTATTTTATTTTATTGTATCATATTCTAAACTTTATTAAAAGAAAAGAAACGAAAAACCTACGCCCGCGTTCGTCGTTAACTAATTACAAAAACAAAAAGAAAACAAAGACAAAAAGGAAAAGAAAAGAAAAAAATGGAAAAAAAAATGTTTTTCTAATTAAAAACAAAACAAAAACAAAGCAGAAGACAAAAAATACAAAAAACGCGCGTACATGCGTGCCTCATGTGAAGTGGAAATAGACAGCGCAGTGAAGTTTTTTTCAAACACGCTACGAAAAAAAATGCCGGGTTTCAAAACTTTTTTCGCCGCCAAATATAATAAATCTCGATTAAAATTTTTTTTTTTTTTTTTTTTTTTCATTTACGAAAACACGCCATTTTCTCTAATTAACGACTCTCGGTCGATAATAATAATAATAAAAGAATGATGATGATGATGATGATGACGGAAATAAGGGAATAAAGTGAGTGAGAGAGAAAGAGAGAGAGAGAGTAAAAGAGAAATTTTGCACCCTCGCACTTACTATATCCCTAAACTTTTAAATTTCGCGCCTCGTACCGGAAACAAAACTAAAAACTAAAAAAAAAATCGATTTACTTATTTGTTCTCTCCAACGTCCATCTATCCGTCCGCCATTTTGTTTTCAAAAAAAATTTTTTTTTTCTATTTTACTTACTCGCTCATCATTAACTAACATACGACGCATAAATAATAATAAAATGATGGCGGCGCGAAATTTTCTCAAAATTATTATTATTAATATCACCATCGTCGTCAACGTCATCGTCATCGTCATTGTTGTTGTTGTTTATTATTATTATTATTATTGTTTTTAAAAAACGAATAAATCAAAAACGAGTTAGTTTTGTCGTTTTATATTAAAATTACCGTTACAAGTGTATTTCTCTCTTTCTCTCTCTATATATATATAAAAGTTGGCCAATTAAAAATGAAAATGTTGCAATCGATCCGCCATTTTATTATCATCATTATTATTATTATTGTTAATTTTTTTTTTTAGCTTTAGGAAAAAGGAATTCCATTACGATTTGTTACGCTGTTATTCGTATTTCGATGCATTACACAGTTTTTTTTTCATTTATATTTAACATTCACGTGATTCGAGTTGAGTCTTTTTTTGATCTTACGTAAGGACCCCCAAAATGTTTTGTTTACAAAAAAAAAGTTGAAATTAATTAATTAATTTGATTTAAAAGTAGTTATTGAACTCTGATATTTAAATAATGTTATACTTTTGACCTTCTTTTTTATAAAAGTAAAATAAAAATAAACAGTTTTCTTTTTTTTTTTGGAAAATTTAAATTTTAAAAATGGCCGACAGAGAGGTAAAAAAAAATCAGGTATGCGAATGATTTGAAAAAATTTTTAGGTTTCATGTGTCAAAACCCCGTAATCGAGCTCGTTCTGAGGTTTAAGATTATGCGTTTATAAACACACGCACGTGGAACTAGCGATCGTGGCAGGTTTTTTTTGCGCGGTCGTTTATTTTAAAAAATTATTTATTATTTGACTTACCTGGCATAGTCGGTTTTGCAGAGTATCATTCCCGCTTTCGTGAAACACGACGAACCTATATCCGCTAGCATGGCATGACAGCACGAACACTTTAAACACCCGTTATGCCAATATCTGTCCAACGCGTGCAATAAAAACCTTTCGACTATTTTCCCTCCGCACCCGCCGCATATTTTCAAACCGCTTCCGCAACTGTTATTATTATTATTATTATTATTGTTATTATTATTACTATTGTTGTTATTGTTATTACTGCTACTGTTGTTGTTGCTATTGCTGCCGCCGTTGTTGTTATTATTATTATTATTGTTGTTACTACTGTTATTATTATTATTATTATTGCTGTTGCTTAAATGATGATGATGCTGATGAAGTCCGCCAAAGGGTGATCCATGGTGATGAGAATGATGATGATCGTGATGCGGTCCCCCGCCGCCCATGAGATGACCATTGCTCATGGGCACATGATGATAGTTGTCCGGCGGGGGAGAGTGCGGAGACGGAAGCTCCGTGTATGGATGGTAGTGGGGATTCATAGCATGCAACGCACCGGTTGCCAGCTTGGCGGCGATATGAGTTAACTAAAAATAAAAAAAAATAAAAAATTTCATTTTAATCAAATGCACATGGAGAAAAAGAAAAAACTTTTTTTTTGTTTTTGGTAAAGTTTAAAATTAAAAGAACAGAAATTTAAAGACACATTCTCTCTCTCTCTCTCCCCTCCTTTCTTTTTCTCTCTCTCTTTTTTTGTTGTTGTATCTTGAAATGTGAGCGAGGGCAGGTTTTAATAATTGATTCACAAAGGTCAAAGACCTAATTAATGAGTTTGTCCATTTCGAACCTAACTTTAGCCATTTTTATTTTTATTCTTATTTATTTATTTCGACGTAAAATGTTGTTGTTGTTGTTGTAATAATATCGATTACAATTTATTGCCTTTTTTTTTGTTTTGTACGATTCAAAAACAAAAAAAAAAATCCCTACAAACGAAAGAAACAAAAATCCCTACAAACGAAAAAAAAAAAAAATACCTACAAACGAAGGGAAAAAAAATTTTCAAATTTGATCCAAAATTCCTTTTTAAAAGAAGCGTAATAACTACTTTCCTCCCCCCCTCCAGCCCTCGGTACCATGTAACGTACCTGAATTAATTTCCCCCCACTTTCAAATCGTAAATCGACTTTATTAAAGTGTAAAAATAAGTAAATAATGCCAAATCATGACGGATACGCAAAAAAAAAAAAAAGGCGACGACAAAATTGTGTTGAAAATAATAATAATAATAATTTCCAACAAGTAATTATTCCGTTTAAATTTATAAGTGATGAAACTTTCATCATAAACGGTCGGTCGGTCATCATCATCATTTTATCCGCCATTTTGTTTTTCCTTCTTTCTTTCTACATTTTAATCATATTTGTTAATAATGAAAGTATAATAAAAATTACGCATTTTAAATTAAATATTTAAAAAAAGAAGGAAAAAAAGGAAGGGGGGGAGGGAGGGAAATTAAATGATTTATTTTCAGGTACTCGTGACATTATCTCTAGATGACCATCATGAAAAACTTTTAAAAAAAAAAAAAATTCAGATTAACAACAACAACAAAGAAGAAGAAGAAGAAGAAAACAATGTAACAAGAAGAAATAGTTGGCCGATCCGTATAAGAAGAGTTCCACAGGTTTAAGATTAGGTTCATCAATTATCGTTTTGTTTTTTTTTTTTTTAGAAACAATCTTGGAATTCAGGTACGAAACGCTTTGTAAAAAAAAATTTAATAATAATTTTAACCGTAAGCTAGTTTGGGTCTTGTTAGAATTCTTTTTTCTGGCATCACGAAACTACTCAAATTGCAGGGTTTGAGGTCCAGTCCAAAACCAACGTGAATGATTTAATCAGTGCTCGTGTTCTTTTTTTTTCTCTCTTCTGCTTCCATCTTTGAATCCTCTCCTTCTCTCACGGATATTTTTTTTCTTCCTTCCAGGTACAAAATATAAAGAAGAAGGAGAAGAAACAAAAGCTTTTCGATTTTTTTTCTTCTTTTTATTTTTTTCCTTTCCTTGAAATTGTTTTGCCATTTTCACTCACTCGCGACACTCTCTTAATAATTGTTTGTTTTTTTTTTTTTTTAAATTAGTACGAGGACATTTTCTCTCTCTCTCTCTCTTTTTAAATTCTACCTGATACCTGGCGGTCATCGTAGTCGTTTTACGTAATTTCGAAGATATTTTTTTCTTTGAAAAAAATCCATCGTTATACTTATGTTATCATTTTCATTTTAATATACAAAAATTTAAATAAATTAAAAACCTTCATCCAAAAGAAATAATAATAATAATAATAATAATAATTTTTCCAAATGGATGAAGGGCGTCCCCTTCCCCCTCCTTCACCTCCCCCTACTACCACCACGTTCAAATTAACTTAGTCAGTTGTCTGTAAATGATTCCATTAATAAAATTAAAAATCTGTCACTGGCATTTGGCAACACTAGAAAACAAACTTTAAATTCATTTTTCCCCTATATATATTCACCTTATTTTTCAACGATTTTATTATTATTATCATCATCATCATTATTATTAATTTTTTAATTAAAAAAAATTATATATTATTAATAAATAATTATAATTATATTTTTTATAATCATCACGTTCGTGTTTGTATAATAATAATATTAAATTTTTTTTTTGCACGAGTTTTCGGGGCCTTATTTGTTTTGTTTTTTTTTTTTTTTTTTTCAATCGTTGAATGATGATAATAATAATAATAATAATAATAATAATAATAATAATAATAATAATAATAATAATGTTAATAAAATAATTTTTCTCCAGTTGAGTAAAAAAAAAATTGACTGTAAAGAAGAATGAAAATGTATATATAAAAAAAGGAGTAAAGATGAGGAAAATGAGAAGGAAAGAGAGAGAGAGAGAGGGGGGAGGGGGAAGAGAGAGAGAGAGAAAGAAAAAGAAAGAGTAAATGCAATCCACTACTACTGGAAAAAGTTGTGTTTGTTTAATTTTGTAATTAAGGTAATGCTTTCATGAGATTGATGTTTGCCTTGCTAATTAATGAAATATACGTTCGAGTTTGCTCATCCCGAAAGCTTTTTTGGCTTGCTCCCTAATTAGAGATTCCAGTCAAGTAATAATCGAGTGGCGCCGGGGTTGGTGAGAGGTGGGAGGGAGAGAGAGAGAGAGAGAGAGAGAGAGAAGGTTCTGGCAAATGGCGGATGGTTAATTGAAGGCCTCAACATTCTTTTATATAAATCGATACTTTTCTAAGGTAAAAAAAAAATAAAATAAAAGCCCTCTAAACTTTCATTTTAATGTCATTATCTATCATCATCATCATTATCATCATCATCATCATCATCAGCGTAATCGTCGTACTCGTCATCATCGTCCTCGTCATCATTATAATAATCAAAAGCATTGGAAATTTTTTTTTTTTTTTCGTCAATTCGTAATGAATTTCTGCTCCCTTTCTCCCTTCTTCCGCTCCCCCCAACTCCAAGAAATTCTTTTAAAAAATTAACAAAATTTAAAATTCCAAGATTTTAACGCAACAACAATTAAACAATAATAATAAAATTCTGCAGGGTTTCGGACAAAAAAAAAGTGGAAAGGTTCGTTTAAGTTGTCCTATTATTATTATTATTATTATTGAATGGCGTCCGTAACCGTCACTCATCATTTGTTAATACAATAGATCAAATGAACAGATGTTACACATGGGGTGAGTCCTCACTATCAACCTTTTCACTTAAAAATTACACTATATTCAATTATAAATTACGCTTTTGAAAAAGAATAAAGAAAAAAGGAAAAAAAAGGAAAAAAGGAAAAAAAACAATTTTGCCGCGTGCATATTCAAACAATGTCTGAAAAAAACATATTTTGTTAATACACCACCACCACCACCACCACCAACACCAACACAAATAAAAAATTGAAATAATTTTAAATAAACGTTTTCCATTTTATTTTCTTTTAAATTAATAACTCTTTAATACCAATGTTATTATTGTGTGCGCGTGCGCGAGAGAGTGCATGTTGCGTACACACATGAGAAAAATTTCACGGAATTTACTAGAAAAAAAAAAAAAAAAAAAATTGCAAGCGGGGAAGTTAACAATTGGGATATAATTAGACCACAATCCGTGGCAAAGGTTGATTTTATTTTTCCCAGATGGGATAGGCCATCAAATCAGTGTGATAACCGTCGAACAATATATCATTAGGACGGGTCGCGCCTCGAAGTGAGAGAAAAAAAGAGAGAGAGAGAGAGAGACGGACAAACGTAGATTATGTGTATTGTGGACGTTGAACAAAGATGGAATTATTCACTTTTTTGAATAAGGACAATCACGAGAGGTTGTTCTCTCTCTTCCTTCTATCAGAAGGTTAGAAGTCCTTTTTACCCGTCTATACCAAATATCACCCGTAACTTTTTTTTAAAGTTGAAACGTTTACGGTGGTGAAATGAGAAAGATAGAAGAGATACGTACGTATACGAACGACAGAGAGAGAGAGAGAGAGAGAAAGGCAAAGGGAATAAAAGAAGAGAAGTGGAAGGATGGAAGGAAGGAAGGGAGAGAGGGAATAAAAAAAAAAAAAATTCCTTCAAACTTTTCCTTTTCCTGATTATTCCTTTCATTGATAGATTTGACAATTCTTCTTCATTTGCGTATGATTTGCTTCGTATTGTCACACCATATTTTAATCAAAATAAAATAAATTTTTTCTTCTTTTTCCTTTTCTTTTCCTTTTTTTCCTTTTTTTTTTTTTTTTTTTCGTCTGGTTGGCGTTTAGTGGTTTACGTACATTTTAACTAACTTTAATTATTATTATTATTATTATTAATTTTTCAATTCCCGTATTAATCCGAACCGTAAAAACAAAAAATAAAATTATTTTTTTATCATCATCATTATCATGACGAACTCATCAAAAACCCTAAAAAGGACCAACGGACGACGTTAAATAACAAAAAAAAAAAAAAATCGACATCGATAGAAAAACTATTTTTCCCCCACCCTCCCCCCTTCCTTTTAATTTACGAGTAAAAAAAAATCCATTACGATATGATAATAATAATAATAAAAACGGGTAGCGTTGTGTAGTAAATGCCGCGGTTCGCGTTTATTTATTATTTACGTTTTGAAAATAAGGTTTATGTACATAAATTAATTGAAACAAATAAAAACATAATCTTATTTAATTTGTATTCGTTTCTTCTTTCTTTCTTTTTCTTTTATACCTTACGAACAAAGTGTAAAGGAGACAAGTAATAAATAACAAATAATAATAAATAACGTGCGAAGAAAGAATTAATTGATTGATTTGTTTTCTTACTCTATGACCAAATTTTTAAACGAGCGAAAATACATATAATTTAAGGAGAAAACGAAAAAATCTTTTAAAAACATTTTAAAAATAAATAAAATAATAAT